GCCAAAAAGCTTAGCCTAGAAATAAGGTGTGTGTTTTTAACAACGACGTTAGTTATTTGAACAGTTGTTGAGATTTTAATGGCTCCATTAGCATTGGAAAACGGGATATCCAGATTGAAGGCTTTTCTGAAGATTCTGTAGTTCAAAAATAGTTATTAAAATAGAAGCAGGAGTTAATGCAGGAAGGTGCCGTGGTCTGTATCTGTGTAAGTGGTCAGACTGAACTGTCTTGGCATTTAAAATAGAGAAATGTGTTCTTTAAAAATACTACTGTTATGCTTGTTATTTTATTATAAAATAATCTGACCGCCTCAATCGCTTCCTCTGCAGTTTCTAGAATCTTCGGCAAATATGTTTGCTGCAGCACAGCAATTGTCTCAAAATATTAATCCAGGTAAGCACTTTTATGTTAATACTATTGTTGCCATGGCAACTGAATTATTGCTATGGGCTCAAAGCAACATGTTATCAAAAAGACTCCTTCCACTGAGACGTCAGTTGCCTTAGGCCTTGGGGTATTGCTTTCTCCAAAGGAATGTTTGTTTGAAGTACAGCTCAAAATCCAGAAGACATCTACTTCATGTTTATCATTAGTTCACTGAAATTCTGTTTAACGCTTTTTAAAAAGAGCGTGCCATATTTGGCTCTCTTCGGAAAGAGTACTGGGTCATGTTTACCTAAATGGAACTGAGAACTTGAAGTCCTAGACACTGTCTGCTTCTGAGCATCATCCAGCCTCCTTACTGACTGTAACTCCCTAAGCACTTGAGAGTCTGACTGACATAGGTATCCAGAAGCACCCTGTTCTGAGGAGAAGAGTGTTTGCTTCCTACCAGCCTTTCACTGTGGTGCAGATTTAGGTCATGAGCTGCTCGAATTTCCCAGGAAAGTTGGAAGGCTAGTTACCTCAGGGCTGAGGCACAGTTAGGCTCTATAAGGCTGCTTTGGTTGTTAGAAGCTTTTCATGGTGGCACCCGTATTTTCAATAATAGTCTTGTAAGGTAAAGCACTCCAGAAGTGGGCAACCCACTGCTGCTGCTCTGCAGCCGAGTGCCCAGGCTGTTGGAGCATTCGGAGTGCGAGCCGTTCTTTTCCTG